CGCGCTGTGTTGTGTGCATGTGCGTATATTCATCAGCAGGCGATGTCAGCTGGGCACTCCAGCATCGCTTCGCCTCAGCCGACCCTCGCTTCTACCATCGCACGCCACGTCGTCACGTTCTGACTGCAGTTGAGACAACTCGTTCACGCGCCACGCGGTCGCCGGTCGTCGCCGTCCGTGATCAGGGCTGGACTCTCGGACGGAAGATTCCCGTTCCGCCGTGCGGGCACCGGAGTCGCTGGCTCCGCGCGTTCGGCGCGCAGCTCCTGGGCCTTCGGCGGCGCGGAGGTACGTCCCGCTAAGGGCGCGGGGGGGGGCGGTCGCCATCTTGGATCTCCCGCGGTCTTCACCTGCGCTGGCGGTTCGGCATGGAGGCAGGCGAGCTGGTGGACGTCATCGGCTGCGTCGGCGCGGCGACCCGTCGGCGCTGGTGGTCGTCCTGGCCAGAGGACAAGCTAAGAAGAGCGTCAGCAGTGTGAGAGTGAGTGAGAGACGCAGGCACATGAGACGAGCAGAGGAGGGGAGGAGGGAGGAGGGTGATGAGAGACGCAGCGACACAGACACAACAGCACACACACGAGCACACCACCACGCCCACACACACGGCACACACACACACACGACAACACCGGAACGAGAAAGATAGAGAGCGAGAGAGAGAGACTGAGAGCTAAAGACGAGAGCCGAAAGGAGAGAGAGAGAGAGATGGAGAGAGGAGGAGAGAGAGAGGAGAGAGGAGGGAGAGGGAGAGGAGATGAGAAGGGAGAGAGAACGAGCGCATCACCGACACCGGACCAACACACACACACACACACACAACACACACACACACAAGACACCACGCACACACGACAATACACATACAGACACAATACACGAGCGCGCGCGCACACACACACAACACAACACACCCTCCTCACACACACACACATAGACACAGACACACCACACACGTTAGAAGAGAGAAAGAGAGAGAGAAGAGATAACAGACGAGAGCGGTAGAGTCTGGATGTGTGTGTGTGTGTGTGTGTGTGTGTGTCGTGTGTGTGTGTGTGTGTGTGATGTTTCTCAACCATCTACAGCAGCATCGCATCAGCTGCCGCAAGGTGCGCGAAACACAGGGCAAACACGATAGCGAAGCATCTCCCACGTTATATATCAACACTCTCGCTATCTTATCTAGTCTTTATTATACTGTCTTGCCTCCATCACGTAACTTCTCACGCCTTCTGGGTGTAGGCCGCAACAGCAACGAATTTACGACAACGGATGATTCAAACTGTCATGACGCCTTCACCCGGATTCGGAGGGGGGGGGTAGAACAGGGAAGACACGCCCCACGTATGCCGGACTCGAGACGAGCGGCGTACGCTGAGTTGTTGGCTGTCATAGCGTACACAACTACGCGCACCAGCCCCCCGCCCCCCCACACAGCCACCCAGCCACACACACACACACCACTACACTTACGGCACACACAAGCACAGCACATTACGCACGCACGTTTTACACACACTACACAACGCACACACACACACACACACACACCCGACACCACACGGCCGCACGCACCACACCAACACGAACACACACACACACACACACACACACAACACACACACACACACACACAACACTATATGATATAAAAGCACGTACACACACACCACACCGCGGCGCCCGCGCGCGGCGCCGCACACACACGACCCACACAGAGACCACAGAGACACACAACACACACACACACACACATTTTCACCACAGCACAGCACCACACACCAGCAGTCACACACACACGCAGCACACGCCATGGCTCGATGGCGTAACGCCCTGGTGCTGCCGTCCAGAGAGAAGCGTCCTATAACTATAAAATACGTGATGGCCTGCGTTTGCCTTATCATATATATATGTATATGTATATATTATTATATATATTACGTTTTGTTTGTAGGATTTTTTGCCGTGGCGGGTTTGCCTGTTAAGTAATTCGTCATGGGCGAGCCTGTGCATTCGCACGCATTTGAATGGGTCGATGAATACATTCGGTTGTCTGAATCTTGTCGCGGATTTTATTTCTCGTGTTCGCCTGCAACCCGCTTCCACACACACACCACACACACACCACGCACACACACCGCACGCCACGCACGCACGCCGACACAAGACCACGCACGCCGCGTCGCCAACACAACAGCACATGCGCGCGCAACAGCACACACACAACACACACACACACACACACCGCGGCGCGCGCCCACACACCACACACACACTACCCCACACTGCATAATGGTTGATTCGTTTTGCGTATACAGCGAAACAGGTCGGCGAGTTCGTTGAATGGTCCTTTCGTAGATATACTGGCGCATATGAGCGACCTAGGAAGCATAGCCTACTTAGCGGGGCAAATAGAAAATTGAAGATCCCTATAACTAGAATACGCTCCACTCAGCACCCCCATCTCCATTAATTCTCATCACGCGCCTCTATTGTGTGCCCTTCCCTCCTCCTCACTGCTCTAGCTCTCCTCTTCCCTTCATCCTCTTCCTGCTTCACATTCCTCACTTCCTCTCTTCGCCTTTCACCTTATCATCCTGCCAGTTTTGCTTACCTGGGCGAATAACTGTAACGCTCTTTCACTTGGCTGATTAGTTGGTTAAGTTTACGTAATTGAACGCTTGGGCGCAATATGCATTTATAGTGTGTAATCTTCCTCGTTTTCCTTTTCACTCCTCCTCATCCTTTACTCTCTGCTCCTCCTTTTACCTCCCCCATTCAACATCCTCTTCTTCCTCCTCTCTCCATCTTCCGTCTAGTACCTTACCCATAACCTCGTTCCCAGTACTCATATATATACTATACTATTCTCTACTCTTAATTCTATAACCCTTCTCCTCCATTCTTAAACAATTTAACGGAGACATAGACTCATTGACGCCTATAAACGTAGCATTTTATTTACAGAAAACTTGGAAACGATTACGCAATATAATTAAATTGCAAAACACACACACACACACACACACACATATTGCTATATATACAAACACGCGCACATATATACACACACGCGCGCACGCACGCACGCACATATATATATATATATACACGCACGCACGCACGCACACATACACATGTACTGTCATATACACATACACATATAACGTGGACTGGTCACACCAAGATGAGGTGTGGAGCGGGGAGGGTTTATTTCAATATCCCATGTAAAATAATATGCCAACATTCCCCCCGGTTAATTAAAATAGCAATATCGACGCCTCTCCCCGCCGTCAATCAATCAATCAATCAATCAATTTTTTCCTCGTCCCGCTTCTATTCCCGAATGGCGAATAATTTCCTAGTATTTCCCGGTGACGTGTTGTGACGTTGTGAGATTGTTTTGGTTTACCTTTATTGGAATACCACAGGTGGTGGACCGATTCCATGAAGATAGAAGGGGAGCGGGGAGAGGAGTTTAGTTCCATATCTCTAGCGGGTTATATATGTGCACGCGCGCGTGGTATGTGTGCGTGCGTGTGTGCGTGCGTGCGTGCGTGTGCGTGTCTATAGCCAGCTGAAGAACATCGTGGCTTTCTATTATTCTTTTTTTAAATTTTTTTCGCAGACGTTCTACGAGAAGGAAGGCGGCAACGTAACGTACGAGAAGTACTGCCTGTCGTGGCCGTGCGAGAACGAGCATGCTAGCTGGAAGTGTCAGTGGGGAGCTCAGAGCGAGGTAACGCTCCCGACGACATACGTGCGTGCGTGCGTGCGTGCGTGCGTGCGTGCGTGCGTGCGTGCGTGCGTGTTTATGCGCATGTGTACGCGTTTGTGCGCGTGTGCATACGAGTGTGTGTACGTGTTTGTGCTTGTATGTGTACATTCGTTTTGCGTAGACAGCGAACAGCCGCGAGTATGTTTATGTGGGAATTTACATCGAGTTTTCCATTTTATAGATACTGGGCATGCGCAAACATAGGAAGCATAATGATAGTATGACAATTGAGATCATTATAACTAGAAATACCGTCCAACTCAACCGCCCCATCTCCATTAATTCTCTTCCACGGTCTCTATCTGCGCCTTCCACCTCCTCAGTGCTCTTCCTCTTCCCATTCCTCCTCTTCTCTTTTTTCCTCCTCATTGTAGTTCACTTCTTTCACCGTTTCCTCTCCCTCTTCTTATTATGTACCTATTCTTATGTCCTCGTCCACATACCCTTTTCTCTCCATTCTCAAACAATTAGAGACTTTACTTATTTCGCCTTAAATCTATCATTTTATCGCAACACTTCGAACGTTACAATAATAATAAAATGATAGTAAATGAATATGAAATGTATTTACTACCAAAGTCTTAATGTTTCTCTACTCTCTCTCCCCTATTATTTGTAATAATTTCCAGCAAACGCCGTTCAACTGCTCCTATGCAACACACAAGTTCGCCGCAAGAGCGCCGCTGTGCACAAACAACAAAATTATAGAACTCTATCTATAAAAAAGTTGTCATTAATTAAATATTAGTATAGCTTATGAAATATTGTTATAGTTAATATATATTATTATATCTTCGTTTTCATACACAAACGCACACTCACACGCATCCAAGATCTGTCGGCAGCGACGACGGACCGACGGCGACGACGGACGTTGGCTGCCGACGGCGCGGCAAACACTTAACACGCACATAGCGTCGGAATAAGGTGTACGTCGCTACATGTATATATCCGCCGATGACAGACGTAATATCGCCGCGCCTCGCACAGCGAGAAAAACGCGGCAACGCAACATCGAAACATCGTAAAGGCTAATGTTAGTGCTAAGATAGCACTTAATTACGACTAATGTTTTAAATGCTACGAGAACAGCGTTGCCATGAACGCAGAGCGTTGCTATGAGAATACTTGTAAGAAATGACAAGATCATATTTCATTTATTATGCACAGCAACACAAAAACGCGATCGTCATGATGACTCATTAAAATGTAGCATGTGTTTCATATATGGTTTTACATATGTGGTTTGCATGAGATACGCTACTGGAAAACTGGTTATTATTACTTTATTATACACTTTATTATATTTATCCTGTACCATGTATCTCGTTTCCCCACAGGTGGTAGCCGAGCATTCATTTGAACGGCATTTACCAAAAATTATCAGTAGAATAGGCGAAAGAGAGTTTTGGACTTTGCTAGGAAATGCATTTTTTGTTTATTTGCCATCATTTAATTATTATTGTAATGTTTCCAAGTTTCTGTAATAAAATGCTACGTTTAAGGCGTCATGAGTATAGTCTCTAATTGTTTAAGAATGGAGGGAGAAGGGTTATAAATTATAGAGTAGAGATAGTATAGTAGTTATAGAGTATGTGGACGAGGTGATGGAGGTACAGAAGAAAAGGAAGAAGAGGATGGTTGGGAGAGGTAAAGGGAGGAGGCAGAGAGTAAAGGATGAGGAGGAGGAAAGCGAAGAGGAGGATGTACACACTATAAATGCATTTGCGCAACGTTCAATACGTATACTTAACCAACTAATCAGCCAGTGAAAAGCTTACATTATTTCGTCCAGAACAACTGGAGGATGAGGAGGTGGAAAGCGAAGAGGAGGATGAGGAATGGGAAGAGGAAGCTAGAGCAGTGAGGAGGTGGAAGGCACACATAGAGGCCGTGGATGAGAATTAATGGAGATGGGGGTGGCTGAGGTGGACAGTATTTCTAGTTATAGGGATCTCAATTTTTCTATTTGCCCTAAGTAGCTATGCTTCCTATGTTCGCTCATATGCCCAGTATATCTACGAAAAGGAGCGGCTGTTCGCTGTATACGCAAAACGAATAACATTATCAGTGTGTGTGTGTGTGTGTGTGTGTGTGTGTGTGTGTGTGTGAGTGTGGTGTGTTGTGTTAGTGTCTGTGTGTGTGTTGTGTGTGTGTGTGTGTGTGTGTGTGTGTGCGCGCGCGCGTGTGTGCGCGCGCGCTGCTGAGTGTGTGCAGCGTGCGTCGCTGTCTGTAGCGTGCGTGCGTGCGTGCGTGCTGTGTGCGTGTGTGTGTGCTGTGGGTGGGAAGGAGGGTGCCAGGCGAACACGAGAAATGAAATCCGCGAAAGATTCAGAAAACCGAATGTATTCATCGACCATTCAATTCGGCAATCAACAGGCCGCCATGAGCGAATTATTTAACACCAACCGCCACGGCAAAATTTAAAACAAAAGACGTATATATATATACATAACATATATATATATTAGCGCAAACGCAGTCAATCACGTCCGTGCTTTGCTGGAAAAACTATCGTTCTTCTTCCTGGAGGCAACAGGTGGCCGTTTAACGCGCCAATCTGCCAGTGCGGTGTGCGTGCTGTGGTGTGACTGCTCGGTGTGTGTGTGTGATGTGTGTGTGTGGTGTGTGTGTTGGTGTGTCTGTGTGGTGCGCACGTGCGTGTGTGTGTGTGCGTGCGTGTGGTGTGTGTGTGTTCGGCTGTGCGTGTGTGTGTGTAGTGCGTGCGTATGTGTGCGCGTGTGTGTGTGTGATGCGTGTGTGTGTGTGTGTGTGTGTGTGTGTGTGTGTGTGTGTGTGTGTTTTGATGTGCCGCGTGCGTGTGTGTGTGTGTGTGGTTATGTGTGCGTGTGTGGTGTGTGTGTCGTGGTGTGTGTGCTGCGGCGCGTGTGGTACAGCGACAGGCCAAACACTGCAGGTACCGCGCGCTCTCTCGATCCGCTATAGCGTGGGCGTGGTCTTCCCCCCTTCACCCCCCCCACCCCGCGTGTTGAAGGCTGTCTGCAAGTTTGAAAATCACCGCTGTCGTTAATTCGTTGCTGTTGCGGCTACAACCAGAAGCGTGAGAAGTTTCGTAGAGGAGGCAAGATATAATAATAAGAGAGCTAGATAATAGCTGAGAGGTTGATATTATATACGTGGGATCGAGGCATGCTTCGCTACTCGTGTTTTCCCTGTGTTTCGGGTCGCACCTGCTGCAGCTGATGCTGATGCTTTGCTGTAGATGGTTGAGAAAAACAGAAACACACACACACACACACACCACACACTACACACACACACACACACACACACAGCTTACTCGCTCTCTCTTTATTTCTCCTATCGTTCCTCGTCTCTCTCCTATCTTCTCTTTCTACGTGTGTGTGGTGTGCTGTGTCTCTGTGTCTATGTGGTTGTGTGAGTGTGTGTGCTTTGTTGTGTGTGTGCGCGCGCGCGCGCGCGCGCGGTGTGTTTGGTGTGTGTGTGTGTGTGTGTGTCGCTCGTTTCTTTCTCCCTTTTCTCCTCTCTTCCTCTCTCCTCTCCTCTCTCTATCTTCCTCTCTAGCTCTACTTCACTCTCTCACCTGGCCGCTCTTAATAGCTGTCGCTGCCAGGACGCCCAGCGCCGAGACGGACCCGACCGACGCGATGACGGTCACACAGCCTTCCCCAGCGCTCCAGACCGAACGCGCCAGCGCCAAGGTGTAGGACGCCGCGGAGATCCAAGATGGCGACTCGCTCAACCAGCCCGCAGCGCGGCCCTCTACGGTGTACGTACCTCCGGCGCCGCCGAGCAGGAGTCTGCGCGCGACGGCGGATGCCGGAAGATCCCGGTGCCGCACCGGAACGGGAATTTCGTCCTCGAGAGCTCCGCCGCTGACGACGACGGCGACGGCACGAACAACGCGACGGTGGCGCCGGTGGAGGCGAGTTGCTTCTACACTGCAGTCGATCGGACGAGTGTGCGTCGATGGTGGCAGGCGAGGGTCGGCGGCAGGCAAGCGATGTCTGTGGAGTGCCCAAGCCGGACACGCCTGCTGGGTGAATATACACAACATGCCCACACACAACGTATTACACACAGCATGCACACACACACGCACACACAGCACGCGGCACACACACGACACACACAGCACGATGGCACCACAACACACACACAACATATGGCACGGCACACGCACACCACACACACAGCACACACACACACACACACACACACAACAGCACCGACACACATCACACACACACACACACACACACACCACGCACACACACACACGCCGACACAACACACAACAGCAATACACGCCACACACACACACACACAGCCAACACGCACACACACCACACACACACACCACACGGCACACACATCACACACACACACACCACCACACACATACACAGCACACACCACACACACAACACAGCACACATACAACGCAAACACACACAATACACCACACACACACACAACACACACACACACAACACACACGATAGAGACCAGACAGACAACACACATACATACATTACATATTACACACACACAACACACACACACACACACAACACACACACACACCACCACACACACACACACACCCACACACACACACAACCACACACACACACACACACACATACACACAATTCTATATATAACAAACACGCGACATATATACACACAACGCGCGACACGCAGCGCACGCACTATATATATCACACGCACAGCACGCACACACAGCACACATACACATGTACTGTCATATACACATACACCATATAACGTGCAGCTGTTCACACCAAGATGAGGTGTGGAGCGGGAGGGTTTATTTCATATCCCATGTAAAATAATATGCCAACATTCCCCGGTCATTAAAATACGCAATAATCGACGCCTCTCCCGCCGTCATCCAATGATCAATCAATCACGTCCAGCTCTAATTCCTCGAATGGCGAATAATCCTAGTATTTCGGTGAACGTGTTGTGACGTTGTGAGATATTGTTTTGGTTTATTCTTTATTGCGAATACACAGGCTGGTGACGCATTCCATGAAGATGCAAAGGGAGAGGGGAGAGGATTTTAGTTTCCATATCTCTAGGGGTTATATCTTGTGCACCGCGCGCGTGATATGTGTTGCGTGCGTGCCGTGCGTGCGTGTGAGCCCGTTGTCTATAGCCAGCTGAAGAAACATCGTAGGCTTCTATTTTAATATCTTTTATTAAATTTGTTATTCGCCAGATGTCTACGAGAGGAAGGCGGCAACGTAATACGTACGAGAAGTACTGCCTCGTCGTGGCCGTGCGAGAACGGCATGCTAGCTGGAAGTGTCAGTGGGGAGTCTCAGAGCGAGTAACGCTGCCGCAGACGACAATACGTGCGGCGTGTGCGTGCGTGCGTGCGTGTTCGCATGTGTACGCTATTGCGCGGTGCACGATGTTTTTATTGGGCGCGTGTTGTGGCGGCGTTGGGCTAGGTTTTTTGTGTACGTGTTTGTGCTTGTATGTGTACGTGTGAGTGCGGCGTGTGTATGTGTGTGTGTGTGTGTGTGTGTGTGTGTGTGTGTGTGTGTGTGTGTGTGTGCGTAGATACGTCGCCGAATAACTACGCATTTGTCTAACACTGGTCGGCATTTTGTGCTCCTATTTCAGTCTTGCACCGAGTGCTGCTACGGCGCTGACTGCCACAAGCGCGTTCACTTCACGAAGAATGCTGCCACCTATCGGACGCTTTCACTACTACTCTACCTGCTGGCACCTTCTTTGCTCGTAATTCGTGGAAGGCAATGATGCAGGCGAGGCGCCACTACAGTGAGCAACACCACGATGTTGGTTAGAATGCGTATTAATTAACATTAATGTTAATATTAATTAGCTGCGGGGCTGACAGCAGTGTGTGTGCTAACTAGAATCACGGTGAATTGGAGACCTGTCGAAAGAAACGAGCAAACAAAGCGAGTGTGGATTTCATTTTAAAATTTATTAGTAAGTCAACTTTCGATCGATCATAATCGCCTACCTTTCGATTAACATCTAACACTGCAAGTTCGCGGACTCGTTAAAGGAAACAAACGTGGATAGCATGAGTAAAAAAACACTGCTTCTAGTGACTTTACCATGTATTAGTGATCGTCTTTCTCCTCGTAAAAGTTACGCGACGAAAACCCGTTTTAAATCGAGAGGCGTCGCGACAAGAACAGGAGTTCCGCGGGAAATTCGAGAAACGTTTACAGCTAACCATTGTCATAATTATCAAACGAATAAAACAATAATTACAGCATTTACGACAAAGGCCAATCACCGCCGTGGTTACTCACTGTCGCTCGAACGAAAAAACATTACGAAAAAACACGTCCGCCTACTTAAACTACCGGGGCAAACGCGTTTCGTTACGCAAACGTATTTGTGCCGCGCACATCACGACCCTTTTCGCATAGACGAAAAGATGACGTATAGCCCGCTTCAAGAGACGAAAAACGCGTCGCTACGTAAACCTAGCTTACAGGCAGCCGTTACTTCGTCAATATATACGTGTTATTACCTGTTGCTATGGTCAACGTTCTTACGGTGAATGTTGTTACAGTCAACTGTTGCCTAAAGTACTGGCGGCGACTGTCGGACATATATAGGTTTCGCTCGTTATCTCGTAGTGCGCGAGAGTTGGAACCGTTAACGTACACTGCACGGCTCTGCACATTTACTACATCGTGCACGTAAACACATGCGGATTTATAAATAATACCCCTATCACATATATATATATATATATATATACGCATATATACACGCACGCGGACGCACGCACGTACGAGACTCGTTTACGACCAAATCGTATGACAATCGCAAGTTGCATCAAATTTAAACGATATTCGCACGCACAACCAAAAACGTAGAAAAAACTGAAACTCAAACACGAGAAGACGACCAGACAAAACACGTTAAGCAAGTGTGCATTTGTCACGTCTATTCTACGCAGCGCCGAAATAAAATGAGCCCGCGGGGCGATACTCGTCCCGCGAGTTGGGAATTCGGAGCTCGCACGAACGAAACAAAAAACAACGACACGCAAACACCGATCGTCCGACCGCGACCGTCGCAAACGGATTTCCGCGTTCTCGTGCGCAGCGTGGGACGAAATCCTCGGAGGAGGAGGAGGAAGAGGAGGAAGCAGGAGGAGGAGGAAGAGGAAGAGGAAAAGGAAAAAGAGGAGGAGGAGGAGGAGGAGGAGGAGGAAGAGGAGAAGGAGGAGGAAGAGGAGGAGGAGAAGGAAGAGGAGGGGAGGAGGAGGAGGAGGAGGAGGAGGAGGAGGAGGAGGAGGAGGAGGAGGAGGAGGAGGAGAGAGAGGAGGAGGAAGAGGAAGAGAGAGAGAGACAAAGGTCGAAAAAGCTGCTGGGTATTCGCTACGTGATGCTCCCGCTACGACGACTTTTCCTCCGGCGTGCACTACCGTTCATTGCCAGTTTACGTGCAAACCTTCATTCGGTCGTCAGCAAGGGAATCACGTTGGGAGCTCCACAGCGCCATCTGTGGGGAAAAAATAACAGTTTTGCACATTTTACCTTGGTACAAAAAAATGAGGGGTTTTCATTGATTAATTGAGAATAAAATTTTTTGAGAATATTGTCGAATCAGTACTATAGATGCCAATACATTTGCGATCTCTCATGATACAAATATATTGATGAATATAAACGTGTAAACGAAACGGGCATACGATAGATCTACAAGCTTCATTATCTCTTCTTAACTCAAAACTCGTGTTAAAAATATTCTACAACAATGGCCACACAACGCGTTGAAAATTTATAATGATTTTAAGATTTTATAATTTTATAATGATAATAATGATATTATAAGGATCTGAAATACAGAGAGAGCATGAATACTTGGCTGGTCTAGGTACAAACGGTAATCTAGCTATGCAACTGTCAAGATTGCTTTAATGTCATCACGTACCGCCTCGTCTCTCTGTCCCTTCGCATGAGTCATCCCTTAGAACTCGTTGTTCAAGTTGTTCATCCTCATGTTATTATCGATGATTTGGAACATTTCTTGCGGGGATGGAACTCTTCCCGTTTCAAGCTTGGACCATACCGGAACATCTAGAACAGCAAACGACATTTTTTGTGTAGCGTTTTACTGTAAATCGACGAGAAACCGGAGTATACAGGCCATATTAATGACCATTATTAATTATGCTTTTCTTTCTGATAACCAATGGCTGTACTGATTAAAACTTTATAATCTAAACGATAATGCCCATCTAAATATGTATTACAGTTTACAAGTAGCTAGCAGCCATGCTTAACTCATGACTAATTTACTACTCTATTTAAATAATTAACATAATGATAATTATTGACATAACAATAACATTAAATCCGCACTATGCACATCCAAATGCTAATTTCTCCAGTACTAGTCTAACAAATACTTCGTGTCATGCATAATCACACTACCTTATGGCAAAATAAACTAGTTCCTCCCATTTCACTGCGCATTTGCTTAAAACCCACAAGAAAGAGGTGCGAAATCTGGTAATCTGGCGCCAACGCCGACTTGTTTGCCAAACAATTTAGCCTCGAAGCGGTTCGGTGATGTCACATGTTTTTATCTTTGCTACACCCGTACCGCTGTACCACAGCACCGCTGCACGGTTGCTTGGGAGAGCAACGCGACAGTTAAGTGTCAACAACATCGGAAAATTTGAACAACATTGGAGGTATTTTCAAATGCCTTTTATAAGACAGCGCGCAGTGAAATGGGAGGAACTACAGTTTATTTTGTCATAAGGTAGTATGATTCTGCATGACACGAAGTATTTGCTAGTCTAGTACTGGATAAATTAGCGTGCAGATGCACATAGTGCGGCTTTAACAATAGTATTTAACATAGAACCATGTACTTACCGTTAAATTCTATTTCAAACGCTCCTGTAGACAAAAGCTGGGTCTCAACGAAGTTTGATATAAAAAATGCCATCATACAAGAATAGACCTGGAATTAACACACAACTAATTATTATTCCTACACACACTATAAATGCATTTCCGCAACGTTCAATACGTATACTTAACCAACTAATCAGCCAGTGAAAAGCTTACATTATTTCGTCCATGATATTCTGGTGACAGAAACAACTGAGTGAATGAAATATAAATTAGATTAAATTTAACATAATTTGCCTTCGCAAACATTTAATTACCTTGTTTTCGATGGCCCACGTCCAAAAGGTCGGCGTTTCCATGTTCAACAACGTAAACGGGTTGTTTCCGGACAGAATTAGGAATATGATTATGAATTTGGCAATGCTGAGAAAACTCGCAAAGGATGAATAAAGAGGCGGAGCGGGAAAGTTCTCTCCTTCGATGGAGAGATAAGGATACTTCTCGCGTATGGCATGTGAAAACTGCTCATACACGCGACGGTACCCTCAGGAGTAACTGAAATAGAAAAAAATGGCCATGCTATATTTATAAAATCATGTTACAATTTCATTTCAACTGCAGACATATATTAAAATCATAGTGTTAGTAATACCTGGTACTCTGAACATCGCAATACTCTGAAACTTGTGTGCTTTTATTATGCTAGCAGAAAGGGCTCCTGTAAACAATGCCAGCCTTCGCTTCGAGTTTTTGAAATAGATATATTTAAAAACTTTTGCAATGCACCCTCATTCTGATAACACACTCACTCAGTACTGAGGAGACTGTTTCAGTTTTGCTTGGCTATCGCAAGAATAAATGATAGAATTTTCTGGGTGAATGACCTCTGGGAAATGCTTTAAGGAGTTTAAGTTTAGCTTCTTTGTTTCTGCCATTTCGTATTGAAATTCTCTCCCTTCCTCTGTACTTCTTAATTGCCTATCACAGACGTTTTATAGCCGCAAGTAACCGTTACTAAGTTGGTCCCGAGCATCCGTAATAGAAGACCCTATAGCCTTGCGGCAACTGCGCGCGGGCTATAATTACTGCTGAGAGGGTCTATGTTCCCTAGGATACTGCCGGAACGTACCCTGGTACTATCTAATATGCCGGACCGTACCTCGCCTACTCCACTAACGAGTCTAGGGAGTCGCCTACGCCTACTCTAACCCTAAATAAAAAAATAAAATACTCCCTAACCCTAACCGGCTAACCCTAACCGGCTAACCCTAACCATATCAGATAGTTACCAGGGTACGTTCCAGCAGTACCCTGGGGGACATAGACCCTATTAAACCGACCAGGCTCTCCGACTAGTTACACGGCGAAAAAGGCCTCTCGCCACGTAGTGTTAAGCGAGATTGGAACTTGTGGCTAAGACCCTATGAGCATAATTACTAGAGCTACTCCAGCCACTGCCTTTAGTAAATTGCAAATTTGAGGCTTTTTCTACTGCGATCAGTACTAGTACTAGTAGTGTTGATCTATCTATTTGATCAACTTGTCTCTTTCCGTCTTCAATATAGTCCATTGCACTTTGAAGACTATTACTTTAATACTTACAAGGTTACAAGGTTACACTCACTCAGTAACTGAGACCCCGTTTCAGTTTTGCAAGCGAAACTGTTGATAGCTAAGCCTACCGCAAGAGTAAATGATAAAACTTCCTGGGTGAATCACTTCAGAAAAATGCTCAACGATGAACATTAGAACGTTTCGTGATTCCGTTTCATGGCGTTCGTTACCATAAGCATAACTAACGACAACGTCGCACTGCGCAGCAAACTAGGCCTAGGTTCGATGTCTAGCATGACATCGCTGATGAGTGATCGGATCATCGCCATCGGGGGCCATCGGCGATCAGACATCATGATCATTCACACCAATCTTACCAAAACAAAAACTTTAGAGTGGGCCCCGCAAAATTCATGCTGGACATCGCAGGTTCTTTTCTTACTGCTGCTACAAAGCTTGTCGAAATAAGCTCGTTTATTATAAATAAACCTAAAAACACTGATAAAGACGAACGAACAACATTTCGTATGGAGGCCATACTTGCTGACCTTTGACACTTGTCACATGACTCATGATTCGTTGATGATTCGTATCGAGCGTGTAAAATAAAATAAAATAAAACTAATCAGACCAATAATTTCGATCTAACTACGCTATAAAATGCGTTTTTTTTTGAAAAACAACAAATATGAAGCTATTTAGTATTAGGTTGCTTCTATAAGTATAAGCTTTTATTTTATTGTACTCTTCTTCTCTAGTACACTGGAGATGGCAGCACGATAGGATTAATGTTCACGTATTTTTGTTGATGTTACCGAAGTTGAAGTCAAACCTAATGCCAATGGTGTACGTCAATTTTCCATCATCCTACACGGATGAGGAAGAAATGCTGCTTAAAACATACGCAAAGCTTAGGAAAAAGGTATGGATACCTAGAATTCTGACAACAATAAACATACATTACAATATGAACTAGGTACGCCACGCAGCTACGCAGTGTTACGCACAACCACCAATCACCACTCACTACTCACTAGTGTAGAGTAGATATAATAATGTCTAACCCAAACCCACGATAGGGTTACAACGCGAGTCTATGGTTTTTTTGTGGAGGAACCCCTGAGTGAATCACTCAGGGCGGTTTGCTGGTGAGTTTTCAGAGACTAGAACTTCCAAACTGGGTTTATTCTAAACACGAACCTTTCTCCGCTATCCTGGAACTTACTGTAACTATGTTACGTATCACAATACTCTGTATTAAACTAATATAACCTGTTACAAGAATTCGAAGTGACGAGCGACGGATATATTGAGCGCCATTTCTGTTGACCTGTGACGTACTTCGCGGTTTGAAGAGCGGATTTACCGACCAATCGGAGGGCGCTGTGTTTGCCGATCGCTATGCGCATTGGGAATGCGTACGTCACATGTCAACAGAAATGGCGCTCAATATATCCGCCGCTCGTCACTTCGAATTTTTGTAACAGGTTATATTAGTTTATTACAGAGTATTGTGATACATAGTAAGTTCCAGGATAGCGGAGAAAGGTTCGTGTTTAGAATAAACCCAGTTTGGAAGTACTAGTCTCTGAAAACGCACCAGCAAACCGCCCTGAGTGATTCACTCGGGGGTTCCTCCACAGAAAACCATCGCCTCGCGTTGTAACCCTATCCTGGGTTTGGGTTACATTATTGTATCTAACCACTCACCAGCACATTAGCCTAGGCATTACTACTTACTACTAATAAGTAGTAATACTATTAATACTAGTACTAGTACTAGATACAATAATGTAACCCAACAAGAGTAGGGTTACAACGCGAGCCTATTCTTTTCTTTGGAGGAGCCCCTGAGTGATTCATTCAGGGAAGTTTTATGGTGCGTTTTTCGAGACTAGAACTTCCAAACTGGGTTTATTCTAAACACGAACCTTTCTCCGCTATCCTGGGACTTACTATGTATCAAAATACTCTGTATTAAACTAATATAACCTCAGGCTTTCAGATTTGAAAAGTACAGGAGGACTACTAATGACTCCCCTAGGACACCATAGGGGGTCTTTTCACGCTACATAATCACACCCTTAAGAGGCATGATGCAGAGCTCCACTAAAAAATCACACCCTTAAGAGGCATGATGGAGAGCTCCACTAAAAATCACACCCTTAAAAGAGATGATGGAGAGCTCCTTGAGGGCTCTCCATCATGCCTCTTGGGGTGTGATGATGGAATCATGACCAATCCTCAGTCTAGAGTGAAATCCAAAATGAAAATTGGGATGTCATGTCAATCCACTGATTATCATTCATTTTCACCTTCATTCATTCTATGGCTTCGTCATGATTACATTCTTTTCATCCAACAACCCAACACTAGCACACAGATTAATAAAAGAGTTGATCGGATGTAAAAATAAACTTTTTTATTTATTCTGATCTTCATCCTTAGAGACTCTAATCCATGTACCTGCATATTTCATCACGAAATATCATCACAATCCATCAACAAACTAGCCAAATTACTTGTATGTAGTAGCCACGTATGTAGCCTCTCCAGCCCTACGACTGTTTCACGTCGGCAGAAAACCACTTCTCGCCACGTATAGTGGAAAACGAGCAGGTAACTTGTGGCTACCGTGTAGGTACCTGTATTCGGATGCTGTTGTCTAGTTGTATAAACCAGAGGGTAGTAACCTGTACCTCTGCCATACGTTCAGTTACTTACACACCACAAATTGTTGTGTGTTGCTAACCTTTTCGTACCCCCCTACATTGACAACTCTCTTGGTGCGCGATTTCAACCACTTTTATGAGGCGCGATGATGCACGCACCATGGCACAATTTCGGGTGCGCGGTGGAGGCCTGTAACCTGTTACAAAATTTCGAAGCGACGAGCGGCGATATTTCGAGCGCCATTTTTGTTGACCTGTGACGCATGCATTCCCAATGCGCATTGCATTTGGATAACTTCGGCTCCTGTGTTGCTTGACATGCTGGCTCTGGTGACGTCATGATTGACAGCAGGCATCCCATGATGCATTCGATCTTGGAGCCAAAGTTAGCCGAAATGGTGCTTGAAATATCGCCATTCGTCGTTTCGAAATTTTGTAACAGGTTATATTAGTTTAATACAGAGTATTGTGATACATAGTAAGTCCCAGGATAGCGAAGAAAGGTTTGTGTTTAGAATAAACCCAGTTTGGAAGTTCTCGTCTCGAAAGACGCACAATAAAACCGCCCTAAGTGAATCACTCGGGGGCTCCTCCAAAGAAAAGAATAGGCTCGCGTTGTAACCCAGGGCTCGAATTAACCGACGGCACCGACGGCAATTGCCGTCGGTGCCCCTATCAATCGCCATACTGCCCCTGGAAATCCAACCAGACCGACGGCAGTCACCTGCCTTGCCCTTTTGTGTAATTTCCGTCGCCCGGTGCCCTTTAATCTACTGCCCTAGTTTCGTTTTTAGTCGAGTCAACATAACACGTGCACGTGCATGCTGGAGTTGCAATGATGAGCTTAAAACCGATAGTCGCAGGAGGGAATAATAACAGCATCTGATAATTATTTGCTCCTGATAGCAGGCATGTAAAATTTATTGTTACTGTACTTCCATTAGCAGAGGGGGGTACAGGGGTCGGTGTTACGGTGTAAGCTTACATGGGGGCATATTGTTTTGTACATGAAAAGCAAGACGATGTTGATGTACTAATTTGTTATAAGTTTTCCTTTATTTTACAAAAGTGCCTTGGTGCTCTTCTCAAATTTTGAGAGTTGCCTTGGTGCCTTTTAAAATTGCCTTTCTGCCAAGAGATAGATTTCTCACATGCCCTACAAAAATTGCCTTGCCCTTCTTGTCGCTTAATTCGAGCCCTGTTGTAACCCTACTCTTGTTGGGTTACATTATTAGCTCAGCTGACGAAGTCAGATGCAGCTTGTAGTTCTAATCACATGAATGTCCGTCCAGCCGTTCGTCTGTGCGTCAACAGTTACGGCACAAATCTTAACCGCGCGACATATGATCTTGATATTCGGGACGTCGGGGGGGATCGCGAAAAGGACTCGGGATGTCTAATTTGGGGGTCAAGGGTCAAAGATCAAGATGTGTCAATGGAGGGGAATATTTTCTCCTTAACTTAAAGGGATAGTTTCTTCTAGGTTCTAGGATTATTTTCAGTTAATTTAGGTTAAAATTACGCTCAGCGTTCGAAATTGGTGCCGACCCGGAGGCCCGA